CCTGCCTGGCAGACACACACCAGTGCCTGCTTTCAGCCTCCATGTGACCTTCACAAAGCGAACCCCAGACCTTTCTGTGGTAGAGGTGGCCAGTGGAGGGGGGACTTCACCCTGCTCCTCTGTCTGCCATGGGGGGCTAGTAGTCCCCGATGACGGAGTTTCTGTATAGCATGGTAGCCTGGCTCCCCTGGTTCAAGGCCATGTACTGCCACTGACCAGTTATTCATTCTCTCTGTGTCAGGAAAATGGGGCTTTTAAATGTATCCACGCCAGGTGTGGTGGCACACACTTGCCATTCCAGCACTTAGGAGGCTGAGGCAGGAGGATCAGTGCAAGTTCTAGGCTAGCCTGGGCTACAGAGGGAGACCGTGTCTCAAACCAAAAAAACGTAAAGAAAAGAAAAGAAAATTGTACCCAGACAGAGCCCAGTGCTTGGCATGTGGCATTTGATGGCAATTGTCCACATCTGGTTTTATTATAATTTGTTTTTGTTTCATCCTCCAGAGCTTAATTTGATGTCCTGGAGCCCGTGTGAGCAGGCCAGGGGGGGTCCCACAGGCATGGAGGCAGGAGGCAGTGGAGTGTGCCACTGAGCAGTCAGCTGGCCCAAGGGAGAGTCCAGCTGGCTGTGTCACCCTGAAGGGTGTCAAGCAGCCTGGCTGTGGTGTGAGGTTCTCCGCTGCCCCTGAACTCGGCTTCTGGCTCTGGGGCCCAGGAATTGCAGGCTGGGAGCCCTGGGGTCTAATTCCAGGGGTGGCTGCGTCCTCCCCACAATCCCCTCACAGCCCAGGGGACAGGTGCTCCTCCCTCCTTTGCACAAACAGCCTTGCCCCAGGAGTGCAGGCTTCCAGGCCAGGCCACCTGGCAGGCTCCTGCTGACGAGAGCTGTGTCACTGGGGAGGAGCAGCCGTCACCAGGAGGCTGAGCGCCGTGTGGGGCTGGGTCTCATCCTCCCACAGCTCCGTTCCTGGGTGGAGGGGGTGGGGTCCCCTACAGAGGTACAGCCTCAGCCCTGCCGGGGCACTGGTGGAGCCCAAAACTCCAGACTGGGCTGGGGTACTCAGTCTCAGGCAGTGAGGCCACCACTCCTCTTCATCCCTCCCTGCCTCAGTTTCTTCAGGGAGTAGGATGTTAACAGGGCCCACTTGCAGAACTTACGGCAACAGCCCAGCATGGTGGCATATGCCTGTAATCACAGCACTCAGGAGGCTGAGGCAGGACGACCTCCATGGATTCAAGGCCAGCCTGGGCTATATAGCAAGACCCTGTCTCAAAACCGGCCCACCCTGCCCCAAAGAAAACATGGCAACATAAATGGATCACTGGGTACAAGGCGTGTTGATAGTGGCAGACACAGCAGGAACTTAAGAAGTGTCTCGTAGTCGGGTATGGTGGCCCAATCCCTAATCTCAGCACCCTGGGAGGCTGAGGCAGGAGGATTGCCAGGAGTTTAAGGCCAGCCTGGGCTCCACAATGAGTTCAAAACCAACATGAAGTGCACAGCAAGATCTTGTCTCAAAAAACTAAATAAACAAAAGGAAGAAAATACTGTATAAAATGACCTCTAGGCAATATGTGCAGTGTATGTGGTACACACATGAATTTCTCATCTAGACTTGGGTTCCAGCCCCAAGATACGTCATTCCTATGTAAACATTCCCAAGTCTGAAAAACTCAAAAGCCTACTCGGTCTCATGCATAAGGGATGTGAAAGCAGCTGACAAGGGGTCCTCAACTTTGTGTGTGTGTGTTTGGAGACGGGGTCTCATTGTGTAGCGCAGGAGGCCTTCACTTGAGGTGACCCCCCTGCCTGAGCCTCTCACCTGCTGGGATGACAGGTGCACTGAATGATCTTGACATCCTTGCCACCTATGCAAGAGTTTCTTTCTGGGCCTTTTTCTTTTTCTTTTTTGGTACCTGGGATTGAACTCTGGACCTTGTGCTTGCCAGGCAGGCAGCAGAGCAACTGAGCTAAATCTCTGCCCCTTCTGGGCCTTTTTCTGTGCCATTGGGGGTTTTTTTTTGGTTGTTTTTTTTTGCACCGGAGATTGAACTCAGGACCTTGTGCTTTCAAGGCAGGCAGCGGAACCACTGAGCTAAATCCCCAGCCTGTGCCACTGGTTTTGATGCTAGTGGCACACTGTTTTTATTACTGTAACTTTGGGGAAGTTTTGAATCAGGAAGCTGAGTCTTCCAACTTTGTTCATTTTTGTTTCAAGGCTGTTTTGGCTATTTGTATCTTGCTGAATGTAGCATCAGATGCATTTCAGTTTGCACCTTTGGTCCCCGGAGCCATCCTTTGCTTGGGACTTGAAGTGCAAGTGAGAACTTGTTAGTGTCATTGCCTGATGACTCATGACCCTTTCCTCCAAGACAGTGTGTTTGGTACTTGTGGGTTTTGGTCCCCACAGCCCATGAACATAGGATAACTTTCTCTTTACATCTTTGATTTTTTTTTTTTTTTTGGTGTTTTGAGAGAGGGTCTCACTACATTGTCCAGGCTGGCCTTGAACTTACTATGTAGCCCAGGCTGGCCTCAAACTCATAGCAATCCTCCTGCCTCATCCTTCCAAGTGCTAGGATGATAGGTGTGCATCTCCATACCTAGCTTGCCTTTGATTTATTTTAGAACTCTTTACTTTTTTTTTTGGTACTGGGGATCAAACTCGGAACCTTGTGCTTGCCAGGCAGGCGGCGGGCCCACTGAGCTAAGTCCCTGGCCCCTTTTTTTGGCTTTTTGAGACAGGGTCTCACTATTAGGCCAAGCTGGCTTGAACTCACTATTTAGCTCAGGCTGGCCTTGAAATCTTGGCAGTCCTCCTGCCTCAGCCTCTTGAGTTCTGGGATCAGAGGTGTACACCAGCATGCCCGGCTACTTTTAGGACTCTTTCTTTTTTTTTTTTTTTTTTTGGTACCGGGGATGGAACTCGGGTCCTTGAGCTTGCGCAGCAGGCGGCGAAACCACTGAGCTAAATCCCCAGCCCCTAGGACTCTTTCTTTACAGTGTTCTGGATTGAACCCAGGGCCTCCCACATTCCAGGCTAGCAATGTATCATTTAACTACAACCCAAGCACCCAAAGTTTTAATTTGCAAGTCCTAAAAAATGGCATTTCCTATTCTCTTTGACTCCTGTATTTCTTCTTCAGGCAACTGTTTTTGGGCAACTGGCTCATGTTCTTCTCTTTTTGAAAAAGAATTTAGGGGCTGGGGATTTAGCTCAGTGGTTCCACTGCCTGCCTTGCAAGCACAAGGTCCCAAGTTTGATCTCCGTACCAAAAAAATAAAAATAAAAATGAATTTAGGGCTGAGAGTATAGCTGGGTGGTAGAATGCTTGGTTGCCTAGCATGCACGAAGTCCTTGGTTCAGTCCCCAGCACTGCACTCAAAAAAAGGTGGAACTTCATTCCTTTGGTGGGCATGGTGGCACACAGCTGTGATACCAGCACTGAGGAGCATGAGGCAGGAGGATCTCCATGAGTTGGAGGCCACCCTGGGCTACATAGTGAGAGGCTGTCTCAAAAAAAACAAAAATAAAATAAAATAATTTATCTATTGAGTGGTATGAGGGATTGAACGCTTGGCCTGGCACATGCTAGCCCAGCACTCTTACCACTGAGCTACATCCCACCCCTCAGTAATTTTTTTTTTTTTTTTTGGTACCGGGGATGGAACTCGGGTCCTTGCACTTGCCCAGCAGGTGGCGAAACCACTGAGCTGAATCCCCAGCCCTCCTCAGTAATTTTTACTGGAGAAATTCCACATGATGTGATTACTTCCACCACCCTTCAAGGTCACCTTGGTTCTGATAAAGATTGAGTCACAGTTTATCTTCATGGTAGACCTTTTTACTGAGTGTGATGACGCATGCCTGCAGTCCCACACTCAGGAGACTGAGGCAGGAGGAATGTGGGTACAGGGCCAGCCTGGGTTAGTGAGATCCTGTATTGAAAAAGCCAAAAAGAAAAAGAAAAGGCAAGGAAAGATGCTTGGTATGGTGGAGTGTGCCTGTCATCCCAGCACTCAGGAGGCTGAGGCAGGAGGATCGCTGCAGCCTGGGCTACATAGAGTTTTCAAGACCAGCCTGGGCTACATAGTGAGACTGTGACTCAAAAACACAAAAACAAAAAATCTTTGCTCTGTAGTTTAGTTTTAGAAGGGAAGGCAAACAGTAAAGAAGATAAATGCAATATACATTATATCATGAAAAGAGTATGTTTTTTGTTCTTTTGTATTTTCTGGCAGCACTAGGAATGGAACTTGGGGCCTCATGCAAGCTTGGCACACACTCACCACTGAGCTAAACTTCCAGTGTTTTAAATTTTGAGACAGGGTCTTACTATGTAGCCCATGCTGGCCTTGAACTTGAGATCCTCCTGCCTCAGCCTCCCTATTGCTGAGATTACAAGCCACCACACCTGGCTAGGGATTGAAATTTTAGGTGTTGGCCTGGAGCAGCTTCCTTGAGTCAATGCACATTTATGCTGAGGCCAGAAAGAGGAGCCACTGGGGGCCCAGGAAAGAGAAACAGACTGCATAAGGGACCCGGCAGGACCACATCAGGAACATTTAGGGAGCCACTGGGAGGTGACAGGTATAACTCACCGTGGAGACTGGCTTTTGTCCTGAGTTAGATGGGAGCCATAGAAGGTTCTGAGCTAGAGGAGGAGGAGGGATGCAACCCGACTGCAGTGCTCCTGCGCACTCTCTGGTGGCAGTGGAAAGAGTAGACGGGGTGAAAACAACCCGGGGACCCAGGCAGATGTGAAAGTCCCTCCCTGGCTAGGGATGACAGCGTGACCGAGACAGATTTGGGCAGATTCTGGAAGCCAGGCAGATCTGAGGTGCAAAGCACAGAGTGGAGCCAGGGGTGACCCCAAGCTTTTAGCCTCCCAGGGCTGGGATGACGGGTGTGCACCCCCAAGCCCCGGCTCCCATCTCCCAAGCTCCCAGACAGTGTCTTGGCTTCCGCGACCCCTCTTCTCACATGTCCCCCCTGCAGCTTCGAGGCGGAAAATGGGCCGACGCCATCCCCCGGCCGCAGCCCCCTGGACTCGCAGGCGAGCCCAGGCCTTGTGCTGCATGCTGGAGCAGCCACCAGCCAGCGCCGGGAGTCCTTTCTCTACCGCTCCGACAGCGACTATGACATGTCACCCAAGACCATGTCCCGCAACTCCTCGGTCGCCAGCGAGGCGTGAGCAACCCTCTCCCCACCTGCCAGCTCCCCCCAAGCCTGTGTTGGTCACCGCCCATACCTATGTCCCCAGTTAAGGGTTAGGCAGCTCCCTAGCGTCACTCATGCGAGGCAGGTGCTCTCCCGCTGAGCTGAACTCCCAGCCCTTTTGATTTATTCTGAGACAAGGTCTCACTAAGCTGTCCAGACTGGGCTCCGATTTGGAGTCCTCCTGCCTCAGCCTCCTGCTCTCTCACTAGATCCCCCAGGCCCCATCCCTTCTCATCCAAGGGCCCCCCTTAGGCCCAGCAGGCCCCTGTCTGCCCCCCATTCCCCTCAGGACCACCTCTGGCAGCACATCTGCCCTCAGGCGGTGTAAATGGCTTGTCCCCTAGCCCTGCCCACTGGCTTCTGGGCCCCCAGTGGCCTCCCCAGAGCTGATTCCCTGTGGGTCCCTGACTGGCCACTGTCCTTGATTGCAGGCATGCGGAGGACCTCATTGTAACGCCCTTTGCCCAGGTGAGACCCCTCCCCAGGTGGCTCAGGAGGGAAGCAACTCCAACCCTCCCTGTGCCTGGCCTTACTGCTGCCTACCCACCCCAGGTGCTGGCCAGTCTCCGAAGTGTCCGAAGCAACTTCTCACTCCTGACCAATGTGCCCATTCCTAGCCACAAGTAAGTTGAGGCTGGGACTCAGTATCTGTGATCATGGTGCTGGGGGAAGGCACAGCAGGTTCAGTGTTCAGCCCTGCTGTGTGACCTCGGGCAGGCCCTTGACCTCGCTGATCCTCTGTTCAGGCAACACCTCCTGAGCCAGAGAGCCCACTGCAGTTGAGGGGCCTAAGACATAGGAGCTTTTTAAATAGAAAGACTCAAGGGTCTGGTTGCACTGTAGGGAGACCACAGCCACAGGCCCGGCCCTGGGCCACCAGTGTGCTCGGCCAATAGCATCCTTGGTCTCTCTGTTTCCTTTCTGTAAAATGGGAATTGCAACAGTGGCTCCATTTGATAGCTCTAAGGAGCCCAAGAGATGCCGTAAAAACTTCTAGCCCTTCGCCCAGCACATAGCAAGTGCTCAGGAAATGCGACTGCTGCTTCTCATTTTGAGGCCAAAGGGGCAGAGGCATCCTAGAGGATTGGAGAAGTTCAGCAGAGCAGTCAAGCAATCAGTTTGGAAACTCCAGATGTGGTCTTACTGCTCAGCTCTGTGTTCTCCAAAAAGCCAGCGTTACCTCCTTGAGCCTCAGTTTCCTCATCTGTAAAATGGGTTCTTGGCATGGCTCACTGGCAGGCTGCAGGCAGAGCACCTGACCACATGCAGGGGACACAGTGAGCGACACAGGAGACAGGGATCTGAGGGTGGCTGGCAGGGTGACATGGGAACCCCATTTTTTTGCAGGCGGTCCCCGCTGGGAGGCCCCACCCCCGTCTGCAAGGCCACACTATCAGGTAGCTGAATCTGGGGGTGGGAGAGGCGTGGCTTGCTATCCCTGGGGGTCCCTCAGCTGGGGGGTCTGTTACCCCTTCGCCCCGCACCCTGCTCACCTTGTGGGCTGGGGTCTCTGGGAAATCTCCTGGGGACCCTCTCGGACACCACTCCTGCCACCCCTTCCCCAGAGGAGACATGTCAGCAGCTGGCCCGGGAGACTTTGGAGGAGCTGGACTGGTGCCTGGAGCAGCTGGAGACCATGCAGACCTACCGCTCTGTCAGCGAGATGGCCTCGCATAAGGTGTGTGGACGGGTCTAGTGGGTGGGACTTCTGATGGACCAACCGCTAGGCAGGAGTGGTGGGTGGGGCTTCGGGTGGACCAACCTCTAGGCAGGGATGGAGGGTGGGGCTATGCGGGGCTGTTTGGTTGGAAGAATCCCTGGTTGGAGCTAGTCGGGTGGGATCGCTTACTGGGAAGGGCCTAGGGAATATGACCAAGGGTGGAAAAGTGGGCGAGGTCTGTGGGTGGAGCCAATAAAGAGGTGGGGCTGATGGGTGGGGACAACCATTCCATGAGGTGGGGCGATTTCCTGGGTAGAGCTGCTGGAAATGGAGTCTACTGGGTGGGTGAGCCACACAGTGGGTGGGAGCAATTCCTGGGTAGGCCCCGTGGAGTGAGACCAAGGGCCAATGTGGGTGGAGCCAACCGATAGGCGGGGCGGAGGTGGGCAGGGCCAATTCCTTGGTGCGGTCCATGAGGGGAGGGGCAAGCACACCTCCATCCACCACTACCACCACCACCACCACCACCCCCGTGGGGTGCGTGTGCAGTGTCAGCCGCAGGCCAAGCTGATGTGTGTAGAGCATGGGGCATGGAACCCGTCCCCGGGCAGGGTCAACCCTTGGGCTGCAAATTGAATACTTGTATCTCTCGTAGATTCTGGCTTTTCCTCAGGGCTGGGGGAACCCTGTGTTCGTCAGGGTGTGTGTGCGTGCGTCTCTTTGTAAGTTTGTCTGTAGCTGACTCTTTCTGGGGCTGTTGTGCATTCATGTGACCTGCTGTTGTGTATCTGGGGGTTTGGATCAGTACAGCTGTTGATTTGTTAGCTCCCGATTTTCAGAGCTGTGTTTAGAGTGGGTGCTGAGGGTGGCTATGTGTATGTTATGTATGCAGGCTGTAGCCCGAGAGGTGTGTTTGTCTGCAGGTTGAAGTTGGTCTAGGGGAGAATGTGAATGTGTATCTCTTAAGTCTTTGTGACTATGCGTGTGTTCGCATTGCTGCAGGAAAGGGCGCAAGGTTTCCCTGTACAGCTCTCCATGGTGTGCACTGCACAATTGCAGGGGCCACCGTTCAGAGAGCAGGCAGCATGGGTGATGCTTCCTGGAGTTCTGCAGCATGGTGGCAGCCTTTGTGGGTGGGTGCCCATGCGGAAATGAGTGTGCAGGTGGCAATGCCTTTGTTGGGGAGTACATATGTCTGTGGGTGGAGGCTTGTCTGGGAAAGTGGGAGTGTGAAAATGATTGTGTCCTCGAGGGTGGGTCAAGCAACTGAGGATGTGACTGCTCTGGATAGGGGTACACACGTGCTATGCACGTGTGTGTGTGTGTGTGTGTTTATGTGTACATCAGAGAGTGAGGATGAATATTCCCTTATTGATTCCCCAGGGTATGTTTGTGTTCAAGGGCATCTGGCTATTTGTGTTTGAAATGTGTGTCCATGGATGTGTTGAGTGTGTGTGTCTGGGTGTGGGTCCACGTTGGTGGAAGGGGTGTGTCTGAAACATCTGTGTCTCCCTGCTCGGCTGGATCCCGATCAGTGTGTTGGACATTAGAGTTTTGGTGTCTCTGTTGTGTGTGCATGCATGTGTGTGCACCCGGTAAGTGCAACGCTGAAAGCACTTGGATATCTGCGTGTATCTGCTGGGTGCTCAAGGGTGAAGAACCTGGGCATGTGTGGTGTTGACCTAGGGCATTTGTGTGTGTATAGTGTCTGAGTGTGTGTTTCTGCCTCTGGATGTGCCCAAGGACGGGGTGCATCCTCACAGGGGGGAGATGTGTGGGTCTCCCACCCTCCCTGCCCCTGGGTACACCCCAGGTCCTGGCTGACGCCCGTGGGCTCCGATGCCCCTTTAATGCCCCCCCACCCCCAGCACCACCTGACTTCGCACGCAGCCTGCCAGTGCTGCAGTGAACACGCGCACACGGGGCACACACGGAGCCCCAAGGCTCTGCGGCCTCCTCCCGGGACCCTCACCCTGCACTCCCTCCATGGGCAGGGGCCCCCTGCTGACTCCAGCCTCTGCTGCTGGGGGGCCCATCGGGGCCAGGGGCCAGTGGACCATGTAACTGGGGCTGTCTGGTGGGAGCGGGAGCGCGGAGGGGAAGGGAGCCCCCAGCCCTGCTGGGCCGGCCCAGGCCCCTCCGCGGCTCCCCCTTCCACTGCCCCCACCTGCCCAACACCCGCTCCCTGTGGCTGTTAACCCCAGCCCGGCCCAGCTTTTGTGTGCAGCAGCCCCTGTTGGGGCTAAGGCTCCAAGATGCCCCTGGTCGATTTCTTCTGCGAGACCTGCTCCAAGCCGTGGCTGGTGGGCTGGTGGGACCAGGTAGGGATGCGGGCTGGAGGGTGGGTAGGAGCCCGGCTGCTGCCCGGGTTGGGGTTAGTGTGTGCAGATGCGCACGTGTGTGGCAGGACATGGAGCCTTGGCACTGTCTCTTGTGTGGCCCAGGGCTGGGCGGGGAAGGCTGGTGGCTGGGGGTGTGTGGCCCCCCTGGGGGACAGCAGATCTCTCCTTGGGTGTGACAGTGTCCAGACCTGTGTCTGTCTGCAAGGGTGTGTGTCCTCTCCGAGTCATGCTGTGGCCCTGTCTGCAATCACATGGCTCTGATCGTGATTTTGTGTGTCAGGCCATGTTTGTGAGCCCGAGCTGCCTGATGTTTCTGGGGCATGTGACCCTGAATGTCACTGACCGCTCTGTTGTTTGTGTCCCCATGATTTGTGTGTCTGGGCTGTGTGATGCTATAGGGTGAGGACAGCCTGGACTGTGAGTGCAGTTGTTATATGTGTGAGACGTGTGTGTGTTTGGTTAGTGTGTCCAGGGCCTCTGGGGAGTACTGGGAGAAGTGACCACCCTGTCCCCATAGGGGCCACCCTTCCTGCCTAGTATCCCTCCTGCCTGTCCAGACAGAGGCCAACCGTGCTTTGGGGAGGCTTTGGCAGAGCTTGGGGGCAGGGAGCCAATGCCCTTTTCCTCCGTGCACAATGTCATAGCATCAGCCTGTGTGAAGTGGCATGGGAGGACCAGGAGGGGCCCCCCAGGCCAGCTCTGCTTATATTCCATTCATCTGTGCATCTGTCCATGTCCCTGGGATTGGGGGAAAGGGGCTAGAAGGGAAACCACCTCCCCCTCCCCTGAGTGACCAAATTGGGGTTCCCTCAGCTCACTATTCCCCTAAGCCCTGGCTAGACCTCCTCTTCCCTAGAGCTTGGGTGCTACAGTCTCTTCCTCCAAAGTGGGCTGGGGCTGGGGGCCAGGACTCCCAGGAATTGGAGTTCATGTCTGGCAAGCCCTAGGCCAGGGGTAACTCCAGGAAGGCAGGGGTTAAGGGGCTTCCAGCTTGCCTCCCTTTCCCCAGCTCAGCAGCTGGTTGGAGGGGGAGTTGCTAAGGAGACTCCCATCACCATGGTGATGGGATTCTCCTGGTACCCCATTGGCTCCCTGTTCAGCAAGAGCCCCTCCCTTCCACAGGTGCCCCTCTGGCTCCTCCTTGGGGGGGATAGGGAGGGGAGTCCCTCTTTTCTCAGGGAAGCAGGGGTATGCTGATCCTGATCTCCACATCCAGCCTGGGGACCCCCATCCGGAGCTGGGAGGAGAGGAATGGCTGACCCCTCCTCTCTAGCAGCCTGCTGGGGACTATGAACTGAAATGGGAGGGACCTCTGAGGTCTTCCAGAGTTTGTTGGGAAGGGGTGACCCACACACGCACCCCACAGCCACAATGATTCCCCATCATCCTTCCCTTCTTGGCTCCTTCACTTTAGTTCAAGAGGATGCTGAACCGCGAGCTCACACACCTGTCAGAAATGAGCAGGTCGGGAAACCAGGTCTCAGAGTACATTTCCACGACATTCCTGGGTGAGTGAAGGGCTGGAGTGGGGAGGGGAAGCCTGGACTGAGGAGCTCCCCTAGCCCCTTAACTCCCAAAGGTCAAAGTCACCACACTGAAGAGCTCCCACACTCATGAGGCCCTTGAACTCAGTGGGACCCCAACTTCTATGGAACCCACCTTTAAGAATATCTTAAGCAGGCCGGGGATTTAGCTCAGTGGTTCCAGTGCCTGCTTTGCAGGCCCAAGGTTCTGAGTTCGATCCCCAGTACCAAAAAAAAATGTCATTTGTTTGGGCCAGGGATTTAGCTCAGTGGCTCTGGCGCCTGCCTTGCAAGCACAAGGTCCCAAGTTAGATCCCCGGTACCAAAAAAAAAAAAAAAAAATTTCTTAAAAAAAAAAAAAAAAAAAATTGTATCTTAACATGGCCACTACCAAACTACCTTAAAAACAAATGTTGATGACACCCAGTTAAGTACTACTGAGTCTCCTAACTGTGTCTTATCTGTGCCTGTTGTGTCAAAACTATTTCATTGTACACTACTGGGGTAAGTGTATAACTTGAAATGTGAACTTTTTTTTAGGATTAAGAACAAACTACATAAAATTTTTTAAAAACATTTTAAGAGTTCTATTTCCAAACATGCTAGTCATTTAATTATCTTTAGCTGCCTTGTATTTGAAAGGCTTTTTAGACCCTGCTCCATTTACAGTACATTCTTAGGATGTGTGTAGTAAATAAAGCTTTCTTTAAAGCAAAAAAAAAAAAAAAAGAACGTCTTGGGGGGTAGGGGTATAGGTCAGTGTTGAGCATGTTCAAGGCCCCTAGTTTTGTTTTTTTTTTTGGTAATGGGGATTGAACTTGGGACCTTGCATTTGCGAGGCAGGCGCCAGAACCACTGAGCTAAATCCCCAGCCCAAGGCCCCTAGTTTGATCTCCAAGGAAAATTATAAAATAAAACCAAGCAAATATATTTCTAAGCTGAAAACCCCCCTCATAACTCCATGGAACCCCAGTGGAACTCTTAAACTCTAGATCCCAACAGAACCCCAAATTCAAATAGAATTCCTAAACTTTAAAAAAGCCTCAGCTGGCTGTGATGGCTCACACCTGTCATCCCAGCAGTCGGGAAGCTGAGGCAGGAGGATCACTGTGAGTTCAAGGCTAGCCTAGTCCACATAGTGAATTCAAACCCAGCCTGGACTACATAGCAAGACCGTGTCTTAAAAAGAAAAGAACTTGTAAGAGATTCCCCCAACAACAACAAAAAAGAGAATAGAAAAACAAAAAATAAAGAATGCTTTTGTAAAGAAGGAGGGGGGGAAAAGGAGTCAAAGGAGGGGAGGAGAATGGGAAAAAAAGAAGCCAGTTATATCACTTACAGGTAATAAATTCCCCTATGATTGGGCCAGGGATTTTTAGCTCAGTGGTTTCACCACCTGCTGCACAAGCGTAAGGACTTGAGTTCGATCCCCGGTACCCCCCCCAAAAAAAATTCCCCTATGATAAATGTTATCATTATCTATATCTAAAATGTAGCAATACATGTTTTGCTTCAAAAAAAACAAAGAGATTCCCCAAATGAAGGAGCATTTCCTAACCTCATGGAGCCCTAAATACAGTAGAGAGCACCCCCAAATTCATTCCCGTCCTTAAACTTGTGGGGATACCCCCACAAACACTCAGGAGAATTTCACCCTCACAATTTATCACCAAACCCCAGAGGCCCCCAAATTCAGGTTACACACCCCCTAAAACATACACCCCTGTGAGCTCAAATAAAAGGACCTAGAGTTTCAAACACTCCTGCCAATGAGGGTGAGGTATGTCTCAGAGTTCTGAGAATTCACCCAATGGCAGCTTGGCATGCAAATTACCCCCTAAATAGGCCCTGTCATTGACTGGTGGTCCCAAGTCATAATGGGTGGTGGCCCTGACCAAGCTTGAAACCTCCTGGAGATGGAGACTGAGACAGAGACATCTTCTGGGGCTGGCCCTCAAGCAGGCTGATGCTAAGGGGAGGCCGTGGACCCAGAGAACCCTCCTCCCTCCCCCGTGCCAGCAATGCCCTCTCCCACCACCCCTCTCGGCCACCACGGTGTTGCCTTCCCCAGCCGTGGAGGGTCCCTAAGTGTCCGGGGCAGGCAGCAGCCCTCCCTGGTGTCCCCATCCTGGTTTCTGACTTCCCACACCACTGTGCCACCCGTCGTGGCCGTGGCGGAGGGGCCAACCCACACCCTCATGGGGCCAGTACCAGGCGCCCTGCTTCTGCCCCCCACCTCCCACAAGAGCTCCTGTACCCCCTCTGGCTGCCAGCCACAGAGCACCCATCCGAGTGCCACTCAAACAGGGTTCACCCTTTTGGGTGAGTCTTCCCAGGACGTGGTGAGAAGCCGAAGGGTGAAGGGGCCTTCCGAGAGGGGTGCTCATGCCTGCCGCCCCCACTTCTGCAGACAAACAGAATGAAGTGGAGATCCCATCACCCACGATGAAAGATCGAGAGCCCCAGGAAGCGCTGCGACAGAGACCCTCCCAGCAGCTCCCGCCCCCGGTGCCACACCTGCAGCCCATGTCGCAGATCACCGGGGTGAAGAGGCTGTCACACAACAGCAGCCTGAACAACACCAGCATCCCCCGCTTTGGGGTGAAGACGGATCAGGAGGAGCTCCTGGCCCAAGTGGGTGGGGCCTCGGCGGGGGCAGGGCTCGAAGTGACCCCTCCATGCTAGTTTATCTAACCCTCCTGGGCACCACCAGAGGACGCCTGTCACCCTGGGTTTACTGAGCACCTACTGTGTGCTCACTCTGTTCTGGATTCTGGGGAGCTGTGGAAGATAAGTCAGGGCCCCCTCTGCCCATCCAGGGTGGAGGACTCTTGAGCAGTTTACCTTAGAGGCTGAGCTGGGTCGACTTCCAGCTTTGCCACTTGTGAGCCACCTCAGGATCTTGGAACAGCCGGGTCACTTCTCTGGGTCTTAGGTCCTTCACCTGCCAAATGAGATCAAGTGCTTGGTGGATAATAAGTGCTCAAAAGAGTGTAGCTTGAGGCAGAGGCAGGAGGTTTGAAAGTTTAAGTCCAGCCTGGGTAACAGCAACAGTGAGATCCTGTTTCAGCATAAGAAAATGAAGAAAGGGCTGGGGAACGTAACGTGTTGTGTAAGCCCTGGGTTCAATGCAAAAGATCCTGACCTCTGACCTCTGTCTCCATCAGGAACTGGAGAACTTAAGCAAGTGGGGCCTGAACATCTTTTGCGTGTCCGATTATGCTGGAGGTCGCTCGCTGAGCTGTATCATGTACACGATATTCCAGGTGAGGGGCTAGCAGGGCATGGGCCGGGCTGTGAGGGTCGCAGGATGGGGTGCTCAGGGGCAGCAGGGTCACCACTCTGCCCTTGTGGCTCCAAGGAGCGGGACTTGTTGAAGAAATTCCGAATCCCCTTGGACACGATGGTGACATACATGCGGACGCTGGAAGACCACTACCACGCCGATGTGGCCTACCACAACAGCCTGCACGCCGCCGACGTGTTGCAGTCCACCCACGTGCTGCTGGCCACGCCTGCCCTGGACGTGAGCGCCTGGCCCCTCCCCGTGTCCCGCGTCCCCATCTCTCCACGTTGCCAGCTCTCTGACCTCCTCTCTCTGACTCCATTCCTCTTACCTGTCACTCCCCTTCATTCTAATACTGTCTCTCAGCGTCCCCAACTCTCTGTCACCAGGCGGTGTTCACAGACCTGGAGATTCTCGCAGCCCTCTTCGCAGCTGCCATTCATGATGTGGACCACCCTGGGGTCTCCAACCAGTTCCTCATCAACACAAGTGAGTGGTCCTTCTTCCGGGTGGGGTGGGGGCGGAGTCAGACGGAGGCGGATCCTGCTGGGCTCCCAGAAGAGTTTGACCAATGGGGGTGCAGCTGTCAGGCCTAAGGGCGTGGCTGGGCAGGCTGGAGGCCCGTCCTTCGGGCTAGAGGTGGAGCCAGCAGGGCGGGGGCGGGGCTGGCCGGGTTGGGGGCGGGGCCAGAGGCTGGGTGACGCAATTCCCTCCCCTGACCCCCTGGGGCCTGGCTGCAGACTCAGAGCTGGCGCTCATGTATAACGATGAGTCGGTGCTAGAGAACCACCACTTGGCTGTGGGCTTCAAGCTGCTCCAGGAAGAGAACTGTGACATCTTCCAGAACCTCGGCAAGCGCCAGCGGCAGAGCCTGCGCAAGATGGTCATCGACATGGTGAGTGGGCTTTGGCTGAGGGGTGGTGGGTCCGATCCCCGGGAACCAACCTCCTGACCCCTGCGGGGACTGGCTGATTCTGCTGGGCCCGGGTAGGTGCCAGCAGGGGACCGGCCGGCTTCAGTGGCCCCTGTGACATCTCCTTGCCCGCAGGTGCTGGCCACGGACATGTCCAAGCACATGACCCTCCTAGCTGATCTGAAGACCATGGTGGAAACTAAGAAAGTGACAAGCTCCGGAGTTCTCTTGCTGGACAACTACGCCGACCGCATCCAGGTGCCCACCCACCCGCCGACTTAGGAGATGCCCCCCCAGTCTGGGTAGCTGCCCCTTCCTCAGTCCCCGTCTCCACGTAGGCCATCGCTATCTCCTCCTCATCTCTCATCTCTCCCAATTCCTCCTAGAGCCTCCAAATCCCCCTTTCCTGTCTTCATCATCCCCTGCCACTTCTCCCCTCCCCTCCACACCATTTTCTTTCTTTCTTTCTTTCTTTCTTTCTTTCTTTCTTTCTTTCTTTCTTTCTTTCTTTCTTTCTCTCTTTCTCTCTTTCTCTTTCTCTCTCTCTCTCCCTGTCTCTCTCTCTCTCTTTCTTTCTTTCGAGACAACATCTTGTTATTTAGTCCATGCTGGCCTTGAACTCATTATGTAGCCCAGGCTAGCCTTGACTTGCAGTGATCCTCCTGCCTCAGCTCCCAAGTGCTGCAATTATAGGTATAGGCGTGCGCCACCACACCCAGCTATGCCCCTCCTCTTTCCATCTCCCCATACCTCTCCCCTCTACTTCCTCTCCTCCTCCTCGTCCTCCTGCTCCTCCTCTCCACTAGTCCCAGCCTCCAGGCCAGGCCAGGGACAGCTCTGAAGGTCTCTCATGTCCCCACCTGGTGCAGGTCCTTCGGAACATGGTGCACTGCGCAGACCTCAGCAACCCCACCAAGCCACTGGAGCTGTACCGCCAGTGGACAGACCGCATCATGGCCGAGTTCTTCCAGCAGGGGGACCGAGAACGTGATCGGGGCATGGAGATCAGTCCCATGTGTGACAAGCACACAGCCTCCGTGGAGAAGTCGCAGGTACAAGGCCAGAGTGGTGATGCAAGGGGCCCTGAAGATCCTGTCTGCTCTCCACAGTGTCAAGTGTTTCTTTTTGTTTGTTTTCAGCACTAGAGATGGAAACCAGGGCCTTTGCACTGGGCTATATCCCCAGTCCTTTTTTATATTTTATTTAGGGACTTTTTATTTTTGAGATGGGGTGTCATTAAAGAAACATTATCTCCAGGCTGGGCTTGAACTTGGAATTCTCCTGCCTCCGCCTCCCAGAGTCCTGGGATTACCTGTACCACCCTAACCAGTTCACACATCTTTTTATTGTTTGTTTGTTTTATTTGTTGAGACAGGGTCTCCCTGTATAGTTTAGGCTGGTCTTGAACTCGAAGCAATGCTCCTGCCTCAGCCTCCAAGGCCTGGGATTACAAGTGTATGCCACTATGCCTGGCACTCACACATCTGTTTTTATTCAGTTTGCTTTTTCTTCCCAATAGTGACTTGCAATCTTTCTAAGTCACTGCACATAGATTTAGTTCTTCTTTTTTCACTTCTGTATAGTATTTCATATAACTGTTCAGTTGTTTTCCTGTTAATGGACCTGTAGGTGTTTGGCAGTTAGAAATTCACAGTGACTTAAATAAGATAAAGTATTTTTTTCTCTCACTTAAATAAAAAACAGGAACCTGGCACTGAGATAGCAGGTTGTTGACAAGCACCCTGGGGGGCATTTGATTATTTTTTTCCCTGCCATCAAATGTGTGAGAGGAATGCCTCTTCTGGTCACAGATGAGGGCGAAGCTCCAGCCATTTTGGCTGCATTCCAGTGAGGGAAGCGCTTTGCCAGCAGAGGAGGCCCCCAGGATCTTCCCTCCATAGTCAGCCACTTATGGCCACTGTCTCTTTGCAGAGGATGCTGGGAAATGTAGTTCTGATCTGGACATGTTGCCTCCCACAAGAAAAGTAAAGATTCTGTCACTTTGCAGAAGGGAAGATGAGGGCCAAGGATTTAGCAAGCACAAGGTCTTGAGTTTGATCACCGGTACCAAGGAGAAAAAAAAAAGAAGGGAAGAGGATATTAAAAGTGTCACACAGCAGTCTGCCACGAAGTTCCTAATTTCTGTTTGTTGCACAACTGCCATAATAAATATCTGTGGTATGCCATGATTTTTTCCTAATGAATCCTCAGTTGACATTTATATAGTATTCCCATGAATTAATTAATTAATTAATTAATTTGTTTGTTTTTGTGGTGCTAGAGATCAAACCCAAGAGCATTCTACCACGGATCTACATCTGCAGTTCACTTACATGTTTGTTTGTTTATTTGTTTGGAGACAAGGTCCACATTGGCCTTGCACTCATTATATCGCCTAGGCTGGCCTTGAACTCATAGTGATCCTCCTGCCTCAGCCTCCCACGTGCTGAGACTACAGGGATGTGTCACCATGCCCGGCTCTTTTTGTTTTTTATTTTGAGACAAGGTCTTATGTAGCTGCTCAGGTAGGATTTGAACCTGCAGTCCTCCTCCCTCAACCTCTTAGAATGCAGGGATTACAGGAGTGCACCTAGGTGGCAGGCCAGGTGGTGCCATCCACCCCGGACACCTGCTCAGCCTTCCTCCCCTCTGCCTTAGGTGGGTTTCATCGACTACATCGTGCACCCGCTGTGGGAGACATGGGCAGACCTGGTGCACCCAGATGCGCAGGACATCCTGGACACGCTGGAAGACAACCGGGACTGGTACTACAGCGCCATCCGGCAGAGCCCATCGCCGCCGCCCGAGGAGGAGCCCGGTGAACCAGGCCACCCCGCCCCACCCGATAAGTTCCAGTTTGAGCTGACGCTGGAGGAGGAAGAGGAAGAGGAGGCAGCGCCAGCCCAGGATTTGTTGGAAGCTCGGGGATCATCCACGTCCGAGGAGCCAGCCAAGATCAAGGGCCAGGAGGCTGAGACAGGGCATTTGTCGCGGGGTTTGGGCTTGACGTGTGTTGCCCCTGCAGCGCAGGAGTCCATGGACGCGGGAAGCTGCGACCTGACCCTTGAAAGCCCCCTTCTGCCTGCCTTGAGGACCCAGTTCACGCCAGAGGAATCCCCGGGGCTCCTGGGCCTCCCCTCCACGGCGGCCGAGGTGGGGGCCCGAAGAGACCATCAGGCTGCCGAGAGGGCTTGCCGCGCATGTGCAGGGACGTCCGAGGAGGACCCAGCCTTGCTCCCGGTTCCGGGTGGGTGGGAGCCAGGTGTGGACCCTCCCTGAGCTGCAGCCACAGCCCGGTCACCCCGATGCCCGTGTCCCCCACCCCCTACTGACCACCTCTTCCGCTGCCTCAAAGACTTGGCCCTCTTGAGAAAAAAGAAAACAGAAAAGTGGGGGGTTTTCTCTTTTCTTTTTTTCTCCTTTCCTCCCGCCCCCACCCATGGGGCCTTTTTTTTGAGGTGGGGGCTAGGGAGCAAGGGGTCGAGGTCCCAAAACGGATTTTATTTTTTGAATTTTAATTGTAACATTTTTAGAAAAAGAACAAAAACAAGAAAAAAAAAAAAAAAGGATGAAACACAGCAACTGTAGATGCCCCCCTACTCCTGGTTCCCCATTTTGCACCTCCAAACCCCTCTCCCCCTCCACACACCCCAAGTCCCAGCCTTCGTCTTCCGGCCACTGGGCTTCCTCATTTGGACCCAAACCCAGATGGGGGGCCTGGTTGTGGGCTTTCCTTCTGAGGTTTGGGGGGACTCCAGCACCCACCCGGAATAGCCATCTGGGCTGGGCCGGCGGGGCAGGGGGTCGCTGCGGAAGCCGCTTGCCCCCCCTCCCCACTAAGTCTTCCGCCTCATTTTTGCACAACCCTAGCCATATTAGGGGTCGGTGGAGCTGCTCGCTTGGAGATGCAGGGAGCGGTGGTCACCAGGCCTAAGAGTGGAGAGGGGCCCTAATCCCCTCTGCCCACCACCTGCCTCCCCGTACCCTCTGGATTCGCTTTGAGATTTTCAATTTGCTTCCAAGGAAGGGGCTCCGATCGCGCATGCGCGCACGCACACCCCGGCCCTCCTTCCTGCTGCTTTTCCTCTTGTTTCTGCCTTAAAGATCCTGTGGCCAGAGGAGACGGGTCTCAGTGGCTCCCACCTGCACGTTGAGTGCTGCGGAGCCAGGCCCAGAGACCCCATCCCTGGCAGCCACGCACCCCACAGCATCCTCCTGACCCCCCTCTCCCGATTCCCACTTCGGCCCCACCTCTTTGCCCTGGAAGGAAGCAATAACGGTGTTCACCCACATCCCCCATCCTGGGCATCCCTTTCTTCCCTGTCCCCTGTCCCCAGCTAGTTCCTGAGCAATATGACAGACAGATGAAGGCCATCTTCTCCAAGCCATGGGGGACCGTTGGAAAGGAAAGAACCCCCTCTCCCCTGTTCCTGTGCCCCTCAGGCTGGCTCTGCAGCCAGGACAAGCAGAGACCTAATATTCATTTCCTTCCCCCAACTCTGAGCACACAGTACTGTAGCCCCCCACTTCTCCCCAGCCTGCCGTCTGTCTGTCCCCCACCCCATACTGCTGTACAGGGTTCATTTTTGTAGTGAAAGTAGTTTCTGTCCCAGGCGATGACCTAAATGGGCCTTCTTTTTTCTTTTTGTACATACTGTAAGGTCGGTTTGTAAATTATTCTCCAGAGGCAAAAAGGGAATATAAACTCGCCCTTCCCTGGCTGACCCAGTCAGGAAGGGGGAAAGGGGTCTTCGGATGGAGGCCCGATCCCTGCTGTATTATACTATCTGTACCATAGTCCCCAGGAAAGGGCGGACTCACGGGGTGTAGGGGACATTGTGACATCTCAGGCACCAGGGCTGAGCAGAGCTGGCCCCCATGCCTTCCCCAGAAGCAGCGGCACTGGCCAGGTGGACCCTGCCCTAAACAAGGCCCTTAAGAGCTGCTCATGTGTTCCCACTCTCACCATCGATCATCAGTCCCTTGATCGATAATCAAATCTTCAATCTCATCACCAATTAAACTGAGGCTTTCACCGACCATACTGGCTGCCGTGGCTTCATTCCTCACCTGTCCCATGAGGGTGGCTCCCTCTCGAAGAGTCAGCCTGTCTGGGGGTAAAGCGGGTTCTGTCTCTACCCCTCCTCAGCAGATGGAGAAGTTTGGAATCCATGGAACTGAAATGAGCTCAGCCCCAGGCAGTTCCCAAACCTGGGTGTGGTGCAGGGGCAGCGGCTCGAGGATGCCAGAAATTCAGACTAGCCAGTCGTGGTGGTGCAGGCCCTGTGATCTCAGCACTCAAGAGGCAGGAGGATCACTTCAAGTTCAAGGCCAGCCTGGGCTGCATAGTAAGTTTAAACGAAGCATAAGGGGAACCTGTCTCAAAAAAACAAAACAGGGCCGGGGATTTAGCTCAGTGGTTCCACTGCCTGCCTCAAAAGCGCAAGGCCCCCGCTCGAGTTCTATCCCTAGTACCAAAAACCAAACAAGCAAACAAAAATCAGACTATGGAGTCTTTTTTTCTTTTTCTTTTTTTTCCTACTGGGGGTGGAACCCAGGGCCTCTTCCGTGCTAGGCAAGCATTGTGCCTGAGCTATGTCCAACTCATTCCTTATTTATTTATTTATTTTTTTACTTTGAGACAGGATCTTGCTAAGTTCCATAGGTTGGCCTCAGACTTATGACCCTCCTGCCTCAGCCTCCCCAGTAGCTGGGATTACAGTCATGAGCCCCTGTGTCCAGGTAGTATTTTTCTTCCTTTGGTGAGAACAGAAGCCAGTGCATGCTAGACAAGCACTCTGCATTCCCAGGCCTGACCACAAAGGGGGGGATTTTTTTGCGGGGGAAGGTTGTTTCTGTTAGGTACTGCAGATTGAACATGGGGCCTTCACACTGAGCTATATCCCTACCCCCCCTTTTATTATGTATTTTTATTATTTACTTTGTGTGTGTGTGTCTTTTGAGACAGGGCCTCATTATGTAGTACAGGCTGGCCTTGAACTCACAGGGATCCTCCTGCCTCAGCCTCCCAAGTGCTAGGATCACAGGCCTGAGGCACCATGACCATGCCTGGCTTATTTTTATTTTGAAACAGGGTCTTACTAAGTCACTAAATTGGCCAGGCTGGGCTTGAATATGCAATCTTCTTTCTTTTTTTGGTACCGGGGATCGAACTCGGGTCCTTGCACTTTTGAGGCAGGCGGCAGAACCACTGAGCTAAATCCCCGGCCCGAATATGCAATCTTCTTGCCTCAGCTGCCCAGAGTGCCAGGTGTGCACCATCACACTGGGCATGGGACTCTGGGCTTTTTTCCCCCAGCTATCGCTAGATGAACTTGAGGGTGATCTTTCTCACCTTCAGTTGTCTCATCTACAAAATGGGGGCTGGAGGTGCAGCTCAAGGTAGAATTTATGCTTAGTGTTCTCAAGGCCCTGACTTGCATCTGGGCACCGAAGGGGAAATGCTATGATGTTGCTCCCAGATGGTCAAAGCTGCCTGTGAGCAGGGTCATCCAGGGAAATTTCACGATAGGACTGTGCCGTATCTGTATTACGGAGCAAGTCAGACATGGGCCATGTGTCCTAGTGGGCACTGGTACTGTACTACTGTAGTGCTATTCAAGGGCTGAAATTTTAATTATCCTTTGCATGAAGTAGCCACATGTGTCCAGGAGCTACTGTGCCAGGCTGTACAGTTCTGGACCTTAAACCAGGGAGTTCATGGAAAGGGCTTGGGCTTACAAAGCTCCCTCCTTGATTGTGGCTATAGAGGTTCCCAGTAAACTGAGAGCAGTCACACCCTTCTGTAATCCCAGCACTCTGGAGGCTGAGCCAGAAGGATCCCAAGTTTGAGCCTAGTTTGGGCAATTTGGCAAGATCCTGTCTCAACAAATAGAGGGCAGACCCTGAGTTCAGTCCCCAGAACAAGAAAAAAAGTTCCCAGTAGATAAAACAGCCCCCCTCCCCCAAGGAGTAGGAGGCAACCTGGACCCAGAGGGGAGAAATAAAATGGAAAAAGTAGGTGGAATGTCTGAACATTGTGCAAGAAGCAACAAGGAGACCCAGACGTTGTCCCCAGAGAGGTGCAAAGGAGGCAGAGCTGGGGAAAGGGCATCGGGTCAGGGATCAGATGGTGACTGCCAATGCCAGGCTGCAGGAGATAGTGTGGTGGCCCTGGGGAGGCCTTGTTGCTCCTGGCCTCAGTTTCCCCAAGTGCAAAAAGGGCAGATGTCATGTCCCAAACACCTCTCCTGTTGGTACACAATGGCCAACTGAGAATTTGGGTCACAGGGTGTGGGTGGCATGTGACCATCAGCTGGCTCTTAATTTCCTGAGTGGGGAGTTCCTCTGTCCCCAGGCAAAAACTGAAGGCACTGCCACAAGGTCCTGTAATCTGAATGGCCAAAGGGACTTGGGCAAGGGCCGAATCAGCTCACTCAAGTTGCTATCAGCCTTTCTTTCTTTCTTTTCTTTTTTTGTTTAGGTTTTTTTTGGAGACAGGGTCTCATTGCCTCAGCCTCCTGAGTGCTGGGATTACAGGTGTGTACTGTCATGCCCTAGCTGGGCAATTTAGTGGCTTAGTGAGGTGCTGTCTCAAAATATAAAAATAAAGAAATAAAGCCGGAAATTTAGCTCAGTGGTTCCGTACCCTGCCTGGCAAGCACAAGGTCCCAAGTTCGATTCCTGTTACAAAAAAAAAAAAAAAAAGTAAATAAATAAAATGGGAGCTGGGGATGTAGATCGGTGCAAAGGCCTTGAGTTCAATCCCCAGTTTTCCCCTCAAATACTGTCTTTCACGTGATATTAAAAGAGATCCATGCTGGGCGTGGTGGTGCGCACTAGTCATCCCAGCACTCGGGAGGCTGAGGGAGGAGGATTGTTATGAATTCGAGTCCAGCCAGGACTATATAATGAGTTCAACACCAGTCTGGACTACACAGTGAGGCTGTGTCTCAAAAAAAGAAAAAAGAAAAAAAAAGGGCTGGGGATTTAGCTCAGTGGTTCCAGGGCCTACCTCGCAAGCCCAGGTCCCAAGTTCGATCCCCGGTAACAAAAAAAAAAAAAAAAAAAAAAAAAAAAAAAGGTCCTGGGCACAGTGGAAGGACTGGGAACGCAAGTCTTTGAGCGCCCCCTAGAGTGGGGATGGGGAGCTACAGCAGAATCAGGAAGCGGCGCACGCGCAGAAGGGATAAAAGGCGTGGCCCGAGGACAAGGGGGAGAATTTTTCTCTGCATTACAATTGGCTGGCAAAATTGTCATCAGCTGAGAAAGAGCCAATGAGGAGCGCGGCAACTTCGCCTTTGGAACCTGAGGGCTAGACCAGGCGGGACTCCGGGGAGCGGCAGGTGAGACAGATGAAGTGACCTTTGGATCACTTTCTTTTTCCCCCAGCATGCATCCTACGTTTTTGTTTGTTTTGGACAGCGTCTCGCTACCTTGTTCAGGCTGACCTTGAACTCATTGTGTACCCCAGGCTGGCCTCAAACTCATGGCGATCCTCCTGCCTCAGCTTCCCAAGTGCTGGGATTAAAGGGGTGAGCCACCACGCCTGCTGCTTCCTACTTCCTTTTTTTTTTTGTTACCGGGGATCGAACTCGGGTCCTTGAGCCTACACAGCAGGCGGCGAAATCACTGAGCTAAATCCCCGGCCCATGTTTCCTACTTTCTTAGATGAACCCTGGCGTCCTTCTCCTTTCCTGAGAATATCCTGGTATCGGTCTGCCTTACCTTAGGAGGACACTTGGCACTGTCCTTGGGAGTTACCCCAGAGTCATTCCCTCTTCATTAGGGACATCTGACATCAACTACTCCTGACATTGTCCTTCCCGGCATCATTGCCTCCATCTGGGAGATGCCCCATGTCCTGGTCTCCCCACACCCCTAAACTAGGGATGGAGCTCAAGGCCTTTGTATCCATGCTCCTCGAGGGTTATACGGGAGCTGCACCCTATTCCCAGCCCCTGGCTGCCCTGTCTTGTGACCAATGGAGTTCTGGGGTTGTTTGGAGGCTACTGAGGATTGAACCCAGGGCCTTCACACTGAACTACATTCCCAAACCCTTCTTATTTTTTATTTTGAAGTAGGATTTCACTAACTTGCCCAGGCTGGGATCCAAATTGAGATCCTCCTGCCTCAGCCTCCCAGAGTGCTGGGATGACAAGAGTGCGCCACTGTGCTCGGCTGGTTGTGCTTCAACCAGGGCTGAGGGATTCTGAATGTTCAAATGGGGACAGTTCCAGGCAACCCTGGGGAAGTTGGTCATCCTGCTCAGGAGGTTGAGGCAGGAGGATTGCTGCAAGTTCAAGGACAGCCTGGGCTACATATTGAGACATTGTCTCCAGAAAGAAATCGAGAAAGGAAAGAAAAGAAAAGAAAGAACCCCACCTGTGTTGGGGCAGCAGTTGACAAAGGGCCTAACACCCCAGCATGTGTCCAAGTACCATTTTTGCAGGTAAGTGCACTCTTGGGCTGGTCCTCAAAGTGTTGAAACTGAGTCAGCTAAACCGGGCTTTGCACTGGGGCTGTAACCTCAGGCAATGCATGGTCTGCACAGCCCTCCCCTGCAGTTAGACAATGCTTCTGGGGTTTTCTGGAACTTTCCCTGCTCTGACTGGGGCCTCTAACCTCCCTTCCCAGCAGCTGGCTGGGATCGGAGAATGCAGACTGCATTGAAGTGCTCTGGGAGCAGAGCAGGCCCCTGGGTTTGATCCCTATTAACACACACATCAAAAAATAAAAACCAAGATAAAATCAAGTTTCAGGAAAATGACAGGATTGTTGGCATGAGAAGTGTTTGGATTTGTTTTTCTTGTTAAGTGCAAATTTAAACTGTTTTTCTTTCTTTTTCTTTTTTTTTGGTACCGGGGATCAAACTTGGGTCCTTGCTCTTGCAAAGCAGGCAGCAGCACCACTGGGCTAAATCCCCAGCCCTAAACTATTTTTAAATAAGCTGCAGAACTCTTTGTAGTCAGCAAGTAGCCACCGAATCAATGAAGATTTAAGAACCTTCCACATTCAAATGCAACTTTTGATGTTCTGTGACTTTTTGTATGTTTGGAATGCTGAAATGTTTGTAAAGTTAAACTGACTTACACTTTTTAAAAAAATGGCCAGATTGTTATGAAATTCAGAAGGTATGTTTGAGATGGTTTGTCTTAAAATGTAAACTGTGCTATCCATGTTTATAGTAGCAGTTTGTAACAGCTAAATCTTAGAAACAGCCCAAATGGCCATCAACTGGCAAATGGATAAAGAACATGTAGGGTTTTTATACAATGGAGTAGTACTCTGCCATAAAGAAGGATGAGCTTCAGACATTTATAGCTAAATGGATGGGCCTTGTGACCATACTCTTACGTGAAATAAATCAGATATACGTTTAAATACCACATTGTTTCTGTGTTGTGAGGAGCTGAATGTGGAAATAAGGACTGAAATGTATCATGGATGCTGGGAAATGGGAAGAAAGTGTTCAAATAGGAAGGGGAACAAGAGAGGAGGGAAGGAGAAAGAAAGGAAGGGACAAGAAAAAAAAAGAAAATAGAAGGAAAAATGGAAACAAAGGTTTTGTACATGGGGGCAGGGAAAGATGGGAAAAAAGAGGTGGGATGTACCATGTACAGGTGCAAATTCCCTGTAATGAGTGTTATTATTATGTATGCCTAAAATGTACCAGTAAGTGTTTTGCTATTAAAAAAAAATGTAAACTGTGCTGAGCTGGGCATGATGGCACACCCATGTCATCCCAACACTCAGGAGACTGAGGCAGGAGGATCGCCACTGAGTTTGAGGCCAGCCTGGGCTACATAGAGAGGCCTTGTCTCAAAAAAACAAACGAAACTAGGGCTGGGGATTTAGCTCAGTGGTTCCATGCCTGACTTACAAGTGCAAGGACCTGAGTTCGATCCTGATACCAAAACAAACAAACAAACAAAGTAAACTGTGCTGTGCATACAAAACAGACCTCTGGGGGCCCTGGAGGTGACAAGGAGTTAAGTCACTGGCTTCAAAAGTGAGGGACAGATTCATGGCTCGCCCATGAGAAAGAGGCACCCTACATAGCAAAATGTAAGAAGCTGAGATAACAAATTGGTTTCAAATCCATACCCTAAATCCAAGGGAGCCACTGTATTTCAGGAGAAAAGCTTTCTGTTGCTTCTGTCCCCAGGGCTTCCAGACTGTGTTCACGCCTGGGTGGAAGACAGTGTTAGTCTGTTCTTTATTTTCATTGGAAACTTACAGGGTTATTTATCAACAGAACAACTGTCCCCTCTGGCTCACCAGTGGCTTCTCTGGAGGGACCCAGCCCTGGGGACCACGTTTCTCCAGGGACCGCTGGCCCGAGAAGCCTCACCTGGCCCCTGCCTGGGGCTATGGGCACGGACTGCAAAGACACAAGGAACAAAACCAGCCTCAGTGGCACCTGCACCCCGAAGGGAGGTGACAGCAAGCAGTGGCCCAGTCTCCTTCTCGCCCCCTGTCCCAGGCTGCTGCTGTGGACACTCCTGGGCGACTTGAAGGGGCACGTGGCTTCCTGCTCTGGTCTTTCTTCTTCCTGGCTGTCACCTGCGGATGAAGGTACCCCAGCTCCCTCCTAGAGGACGGGGATCTGCTGTCACTTTTTTTGTCCCTGTGTTATGTATGAAAACAATGCTCTGGGTCAGGTCACTTTCTCTCTCTTTTTTTTGCCGAAGAAGCACAAGTACTTCAACAGGTACAGTTCTGCTGGTCGATGTGCTTCCGGCAGGGCTCCATGGTGACGGCGACGCCCACCCCACTCCGGCCGGATGTCATGCGGGTCACCTCGCTCCAGGTGTCTGTGTCTGGGTCGTAGCACTCCACGCTGTCCAGGAACGTGTGACCGTCATAGCCTCCTGCAGGGAGAGCAGAGGGTATAGTCACTACTCATGCCACCTCTGAGGACAGAAAGAGGGACAGCCAGGTGTGGTGGTGCACACCGGTCATCCCAGGACTGTGGGAGGCTGAGGCAGGAGCATCCCAAATTGGAGCCCAGCCTTCAGCAACTTAGAGACTTAGTGAGACCCTCTCAAAATTAAAAATGAATAAGGACCAGGGACTTACCTCAGTGGTATGGTGCCTGCCGTGCAAGTACAAGGTCCTGAGTTCAATCCCGAGCATTGAAAAAATGTTAAAAAGGGGTCAGTCCAGACCCTGCCTCCCACCAGGTTCTCACCAAGGACATAGATTCTCCCCTGGTGCACAGTAATCCCCAGGGCGCTTCGCCGATGCTTCATGGGGGCCACAAACGTCCAGGTCTCCATCTCCACATCATAGCGCTCCATGCTGTTGAGCTGGTCCTGACCGTCATAGCCGCCCGCAGCATAGATACAGTTGTGCAGCACACAGACTCCTAAACCACACCAACTGGGAGGGGTCACTCTGGGGCCTGGATTTGGGGGACCCTAGCCACCACCTTCCCTCTTTCCTCTCCCATCTTTAGGAACCCCTCAGAAACAAAGCCAGGAGCCAAGTATGGTGGCACACGCCTGTGATCCCAGCTACTTGGGAGGCTGAGGCAGGAGGATCGCAAGTTGAAGGGCAGCCTGGGTAACTTAGCAAGATCCTGTCTCAAAATAAAAAGGGCTAGGGGTGTGTGGCTCAGTAGGGAGTGCTTGCCTAGCGTGCATGAACCCATCAATGATCCCAGTATCCCACAAAGAAAAAGAAGAAGAAAGAAAAAGAGAGAGAGAGAGAGGAGGGAGGTGTGGAGCCTAGGAGTTGTAGCTTCTCTGCCTGCGCCTCGGGGCTGGGATTGAGGCAGGCGCCGGGTAGGGTGATCCTGGGCTCCCCCTCTGTAGCCCCCCACCTGCCCCGCTGCGGATGGTGTTCATGGGGGTGATCAGGCGCCACTCATTGCGCTCCGGGTAGTAGCACTCAGCCGAGTTGAGGCGGTTCGTCCCATCGAAGCCCCCGACAGCGTACAGCAGGCGATTGAGGACAGCCACGCCCACACCGATCCTCCGGGTCAGCATCGGGGACACCAAGTGCCACTCATCCCGCTCGGGCTCATACCTGCAATGGACACGAGGACCATGGCGACACCATGACCTCCACGGGCACACTGCCTATGGGGCCAGTACTCTCTAGCTCTTTAATTAATTTATTCATTTTTTTGGTACGGGGGATCCAACTTGGGACCTTGCGCTTTGCTTTCGAGGCAGGCGGTAGAACCACTGAGTTAAATCCCTGGCCCTCCAGCTCTTTATACCCTTGAATTTTTTTAGTTTTTGGTGGTGCTCAGGTTCAAAACCAGGGGTGCTCTAGCACTGAGCTCCATCCCCAACCTTTTTTTATGGTTTATTTGGAGACAATAAATCTGGTCTCCTTAAGTTGCCCAGGAGGAACTCAAACTTGCCATCCTCCTGCCTCAGCCTCCCTGTGTGCTGGGATAACAGGTATGGACCACCACCCCCGGCTCACACTTGACCCCTTGAACCCTGACAGCCAGTCCTCCAAGGAGGGAGGGATCATGGCTCCATTTTCCAGAGAAGGAAACTGAGGCTCACAGTCCAAGCAAGGTCACACTGTCCATCTTGTGGGCTCAGGCTGAGCACTAAGTGTGTGACATCAACATAACCCTAACTGGGCTGGGGCGCAGTGACATTCTTATTGTCCCTCACGCTACACAGGATGAGATGGAAGACCCAGGAAGGTGGCAGGGCACTTCCAGGGTCACCAAGGGGCAGTGGCACTAGTGTTGGACTCCAGAACCCGACACTAACATCTAGGCTACCGCCCAGCTGGCTTCCTCATGGGGGGTGACAGAGGTGGCCCACCGCACGTCCCGTTGGCCCGGGCACTTCTGGTCCATACCTGTGTTCCTGGAGTTATTAATAGTGTCCCTTTCTTTCTTGAAAGTGGCCTGCTGAGGGTGATGCACCATCCCACCATCCTATTCATAGACCACACACATTAGAAGCTTCACGCACTGGTTTGAATTCCCTTGTGCTGAACCCATGGATTCCAGGTTTCTACCAACACATCAGCTGGGGAGCCTGCTTTTGTTTTGGGGGGCCTTGGGGGTTGCTGGGGATGGAACCCAAGGCCTTGGCACTGAATTCCACCTCCAGCCCTTTTCAGTTCTTATTTTGAGACAGGATCTTGCTAAATCACTAAGTTGCCCGGGCTGGGCTGGAACTTGGGATTGTCCTGCCTCAGCCTCCCAAGTGCTGGGGTGACAGGCGTGTGCCACCATGCCAGGCTTTAAAGGAGCCATATGGGTCTGGGAAAGTCCCATCAGGAAATCCCAGCCCCAGAAACAGGGTCCAAGGTCATTGGCTACACATTTCCTAGGAGTTCATAGCTTCACCTTGCCTGCTCCCATTTCCTGAAGACAGGAAGCAGACACACTTAGCATCAGGGAGAAGCCAGGCATGGTGGTCCACACCAGTCATCCCAGCACCTAGGAGGCTGAGTCAGAAGGATCTCTGCAGTCAGTCAGAAGCCAGCCTGGGTAACACAGTGAGTCCAAGTTCAGCCTGAACTACATGGCCAGACCCTGTCTCCAAAAACCAAAATCTGCATTAGGGATAATCCTGCCATCCCGAAGGGACCATCAGCCACAGCTGGATGGAGGCAGACGCCAGGCCGTGCCACCTACCTCTCCACACTGTTGTGGTGGATGCAGCCGTGCGAGCCCCCCACGGCGTAGATGTGGCCGTCAATGACGCCCACGCCGATGCGGTTGCGGGGCACACTCATGGGGGCGCAGGGCGACCACTGATTGGTCATGGGGTTGTAGCAGTCCAAGGCATTGGAGTCGGTGTTCCCGTCGGGGGAGTTGTTGCGGCCACCCACGGCGTAAAGCAGCCCCCCCACCACGCAGCCTGCCAGCCCACTGCGGGGCACCTGCAGGTCAGCCAGGCGTAGCCAGGTGCCATCACTCGGGTTGTAGGCCTCCAGATAGCTGAGCGACTGGCGGAAGTAGCCGCCGGCCGTGTAGATGAGGCGGCCCACCTTGGGCGCCCGGCAGGGCATGGCCGGAGTGGGCTTGTGCAGCGTGAGCTCCTGGAAGATCTGCACCAAGTAGTCCTTGCAGCGCGAGTCGCTCTGCAGGATCTCGCACTTCTGCAGCTGCATCTGCAGGAAGTGCGGGGTGAGCGCGTGACAGCGCACTGCGCGCAGCAGCGCCTGCACATAGAAACGTCGCTGCTCACAGTCGTACTTGACCCAGTTGATGCATGCGTGGAACACCTCGGACTCGCAGCGCACGTTCAGGTCGTCCCGGCTGATCAGCGTCGCCAGCTGGCAGTGCGACAGGTTGAAGAACTCCTCCTGCTTGGCCACCTGCAGAGGGCGCTAGTGTGACAGGCTGATTCCCATGGGTCCTTCCCAAAGGAACCAGGTTATGCAAAAAATGTGTGTGCGTGTACATGTGTAGGCATGTATGCATGCATGTGTGTGTGTGTGTGTGTGTGTGTGTGTGTGTGTGATGGAACCCAGGGCCTTTGCACTGCGCTATGTCCCTAGTCCTTTTGTCCTTTCAAAGAATTTTTTTTATTGAGGTCTGGTTAAGTTCCCCAGGCTGGCCTGGAACTTGGAATCCTTCCACCTCAGCCTCCCACAGTGCTGGGATGACAGGTGTGCACCACCACACCTAGTTTCACTCAATGATCTTGGACCATTTACTCAACCGACCTCTGACAGTCTCAGTTTTCTTATCTGTGAAATGGAGTTTCAATTAGTTTGAGGTTCAGTCAGGGCGTGGTGGCGCACTCCTCTCGCCCTAATACCTGGGAGGCTGAGGCAGGAGAATTGTCATGCGTTCCAGACCAGCCTGGGGATACATAGTGAATTCAAGGCCAGCCTTGACTACAAAGTGAGAACCTGTCCCAATAAATAGATAAGATAGATAGATAGTCAAGCAGCAGGAGTCTCTAAATGGTGTGGATTTAATGAGCTAATATTACATGCCAGGCAGGCAGTACAGGTACAGGTAAATGGGCAAAGACAATAGTTTCTTTTTTCCTCCCTACAGTGCTGGGGATAGAACCCAGAACTTCATGCACGGTAGGCAAGCACTCTACTCCTGAGCTACATCCCTAGCCCAAAGACATGCAGTATTTTATTTTATATTTTGCATAACTGGAGACTGAACCCAGGGCCTTCACAGAAAGCTACATTTGGGGGCTGGGGATTTAGCTCAGTGGTTCCGCCACCTGTCTTGCAAGTGCAAGGACCTGAGTTTGATCCCCGGTACCAAAAAAAAAAGTTAAACAAAGAAAGCTACATTTCCAGCCCTTTTTATTTATTTATTTATTTTTGGGTACAGGGGATTGAACTCAGGACCTTGTGCTTTTGAGGCAGGCAGCAGAACCACTGAGCTAAATCCCTGGCCCGGCCCTTTTTATTTTTCATTCTGAGTCATCAGAGTCTCACTAAATGTTTAACTTTCCCAGGCTGGGCAGGAACTTGTGACTCTCCTGCCTTAGCCTCCCAGAGTCCTGGGATTACAGACATATGCCACCATAGCTGGCTGTTTTTTTGATTATTTTTTCCTTTTTTTTTGGTGCTGGAGATTGAACTCAGGACCTTGCACTTGCGAAGCAGGCGAAGCGCCACTGAGCTAAATTCCTGGCCCTGTTTTTGTGCTCTTTTGAGAAATAACTCTTGGATATTTTCTCTTGACAACTTCCTGTACAGAGAAATGAAAACGAAAGCAGAAACTCGTATAAAGACAACACTATCTGGGCCAGGGATTTAGCTCAGCAGCATAGCACCTGCCTGGCAAGGGTGAGGTCCTGAGTTCAATCCCCAGTACCAAAAATAAAATAAATAAAGAAAGAAAGAAAGAAAGAAAGAAAGACAACACTGTGTGGACCCAAGACAACGAGACTAAGGGTCAGACTTGCAATTTGCATCGTCACAGGTGCTGAGTAAATATTTGCTGGCTGGCTACCTGTTCAGTGCACCTGGGGACTGGCTGCTATCATGTTCACCACACTCTGTCCCCACCTTTGACCGCAGGGAATCCAGGGCACCCAGTGACCACAAAGCCCACACCTTTATCAATCACCCCAGATTTGCTGACTAGGAGCACAGAACCTGGGTTTCCTCCAGTTCCCAGCCCTTTTTTTTTTCTTGGTACTAGAGATTGAACTCAGGATCTTGCACTTGCAAGGCAACCGTGATGCCACTGAGCTAAATCCCCAGCCCTAGCCTTTTTTACTTTTATCCTTTTGAGGCAGGGTCTTGCTGTGTACTCCAGGCTAGTCTTGAATTCACTATGTAGCCCAGGCTGGCCTTGAACTCGCAGTGATTTTCCTGCCTCAGCCTCCCTAGTGCTGGGATTACAAATGTGCACCAGCATGCCCGGATCCAGTTCCCAGCCTTGACCCTTCTCATCCCAGAGGGAGATGGTGATGACACCTGTCTCCAGCCCTTCTCTTGACCACTGCCCCCAAGTCCTCTCTGGGCTCACCTCCCCGAAGTGCATGTAGATGTACTCCCGCGCCCGCTGGTGCAGCTCGGTGCAGCCAATCTGCTCGGCGAAGTTGGCGATGCCGATGGCGTTGCTGGGGTCGAGCTGCTGCACCAGGAAGTCACTGCAGGCGCGCACGACGCTGTCGATCTGGTACATGACGGCGCCATTCATTACATGCAGCACGCACTTCTCACCCATGGAGATGGACGCGGTGTAGGCGAACTCAATGAGCCGCTCCATGACCCGTGGGTGGATCCCTTCGATGGATACCACCTCCATGCCCTGCTCGCGCAGCCCCGTGGTGAACATGGCCTTGAACACAGGGCTGGACGAGGCCAGTACCACCTTGTGCGCCATGAACTGCGCCGTGGGGATGTCCTCGTATTTCACCTGCAGGGTGACATCGCACAGCTGCTGGCTGAGCCGCAGTTCGTTCATGATGCCAAAGGCCTGCTTGGTGTGGTCCTCCAGCGTGTAGCTGAAGGTTCGGTTGCCATCCTGGGACGGGGTCACCTCGGCCTTGCACTCGGTGGACGCGTACATCACCGTGTCCCCGGCCCCCTCGGGGCACTCAGAATGCAGGGGCAGAAATCGGCTTCGGGCCCTGGCCCTGCTAGGCCTGGGTTCCGGCTGCATGGGGTTCCAGGTGAGAAGGAACGAGAGCACAAGTGGCACTCAGAGGCCTGGAGGAGGGAGAGGACAAGGGCTGCGGGCGGGCCTGGGCCTTGCCAGCACCTGCCAGGCCTCCTTACTGAAAGACAGTGATTCCTAGCCGGATGTGGTGATGTGTGCCTGTGATACCAACACCTAGGAGGCTGAGGCAGGAAGATCGTTGGGAGTTCAAGGGCAGCCTGAACTACACAGTGAGACCCTGTCTCAAAAATAATAAATAAATAAATAAATGGAAAGAATTGCAACAGCAGTGTGACCACGTGTAAGTCTCTTTGTCACCTGGGGGCAATTACTTAAATCAGGTAGTTCAGGCCTCTGTGAAGAGGGGAGACT